GACTACAGAACTCAGACCTGGCCTTACAGAAGGTACAGTCACATGACTACAGAACTCAGACCTGGCTTTACAGAAGGTACAGTCACATGACTCCAGAACTCAGACCTGGCCTTACAGAAGGTACAGTCACATGACTCCAGAACTCAGACCTGGCTTTACAGAAGGTACAGTCACATGACTACAAAACTCAGACCTGGTCTCACAGAAGGTACAGTCACATGACTCCAGAACTCAGACCTGGCCTTACAGAAGGTACAGTCACATGACTCCAGAACTCAGACCTGGCCTTACAGAAGGTACAGTCACATGACTACAGAACTCAGACCTGACTTTACAGAAGATACAGTCACATGACTACAGAACTCAGACCTGGCTTTACAGAAGGTACAGTCACATGACTACAGAACTCAGACCTGGCTTTACAGAAGGTACAGTCACACGACTCCAGAACTCAGACCTGGCCTTACAGAAGGTACAGTCACATGACTACAAAACTCAGACCTGGGGCTTACAGAAGGTACAGTCACATGACTACAGAACTCAGACCTGGCTTTACAGAAGGTACAGTCACATGACTACAGAACTCAGACCTGGGGCTTACAGAAGGTACAGTCACATGACTACAGAACTCAGACCTGGCCTTACAGAAGGTACAGTCACATGACTACAGAACTCAGACCTGGCCTTACAGAAGGTACAGTCACATGACTACAGAACTCAGACCTGGCTTTACAGAAGGTACAGTCACATGACTCCAGAACTCAGACCTGGCCTTACAGAAGGTACAGTCACATGACTCCAGAACTCAGACCTGGCCTTACAGAAGGTACAGTCACATGACTCCAGAACTCAGACCTGGCTTTACAGAAGGTACAGTCACATGACTACAAAACTCAGACCTGGCCTTACAGAAGGTACAGTCACATGACTCCAGAACTCAGACCTGGCCTTACAGAAGGTACAGTCACATGACTCTAGAACTCAGACCTGGCCTTACAGAAGGTACAGTCACATGACTACAGAACTCAGACCTGGCTTTACAGAAGGTACAGTCACATGACTACAGAACTCAGACCTGGCTTTACAGAAGGTACAGTCACATGACTACAGAACTCAGACCTGGCTTTACAGAAGGTACAGTCACATGACTCCAGAACTCAGACCTGGCCTTACAGAAGGTACAGTCACATGACTACAGAACTCAGACCTGGGGCTTACAGAAGATACAGTCACATGACTACAGAACTCAGACCTGGCCTTACAGAAGGTACAGTCACATGACTACAGAACTCAGACCTGGCTTTACAGAAGGTACAGTCACACGACTCCAGAACTCAGACCTGGCCTTACAGAAGGTACAGTCACATGACTACAAAACTCAGACCTGGGGCTTACAGAAGGTACAGTCACATGACTACAGAACTCAGACCTGGCTTTACAGAAGGTACAGTCACATGACTACAGAACTCAGACCTGGGGCTTACAGAAGGTACAGTCACATGACTACAGAACTCAGACCTGGCCTTACAGAAGGTACAGTCACATGACTACAGAACTCAGACCTGGCCTTACAGAAGGTACAGTCACATGACTACAGAACTCAGACCTGGCTTTACAGAAGGTACAGTCACATGACTCCAGAACTCAGACCTGGCCTTACAGAAGGTACAGTCACATGACTCCAGAACTCAGACCTGGCCTTACAGAAGGTACAGTCACATGACTCCAGAACTCAGACCTGGCTTTACAGAAGGTACAGTCACATGACTACAGAACTCAGACCTGGCTTTACAGAAGGTACAGTCACATGACTACAAAACTCAGACCTGGCCTTACAGAAGGTACAGTCACATGACTCCAGAACTCAGACCTGGCCTTACAGAAGGTACAGTCACATGACTCCAGAACTCAGACCTGGCCTTACAGAAGGTACAGTCACATGACTACAGAACTCAGACCTGGCTTTACAGAAGGTACAGTCACATGACTACAGAACTCAGACCTGGCTTTACAGAAGGTACAGTCACATGACTACAGAACTCAGACCTGGCTTTACAGAAGGTACAGTCACATGACTCCAGAACTCAGACCTGGCCTTACAGAAGGTACAGTCACATGACTACAGAACTCAGACCTGGCCTTACAGAAGGTACAGTCACATGACTACAGAACTCAGACCTGGCCTTACAGAAGGTACAGTCACATGACTCCAGAACTCAGACCTGGCCTTACAGAAGGTACAGTCACATGACTCCATAACTCAGACCTGGCCTTACAGAAGGTACAGTCACATGACTCCAGACCTCAGACCTGGCCTTACAGAAGGTACAGTCACATGACTCCAGAACTCAGACCTGGCCTTACAGAAGGTACAGTCACATGACTCCAGAACTCAGACCTAGGCATACTGTATGTCATATGAATCCAGAACTATCCCATGTCAGCCAGGCCAGCAGTATTCAGCTTCACCACCATGGCTAAGCTCTGATGCCACACCCAGCCCCTGGCCTTCATGGCTGGGACAAATGGCTGAACTATCACAATAAGCTGCTTGGTTCAAAGAGAGAGCGGGAAGTCTGGTTTCCGGGGGACAGGAGCTAGCTAGCTGTAGGGTAGTCCCACTCCCTACAGAGGATTGGTTTCCTATCTCAAGAGTTAGAGTCAGTAGTAGTAACCTTCCTCTAGCTCCCTCCAGGACTATATCAAGAGTTAGAGTCAGTAGTAGTAACCTTCCTCTACCTCCCTCCAGGACTATATCAAGAGTTAGAGTCAGTAGTAGTAACCTTCTTCTACCTCCCTCCAGGACTATATCAAGAGTTAGAGTCAGTAGTAGTAACCTTCCTCTACCTCCCTCCAGGACTATATCAAGAGTTAGAGTCAGTAGTAGTAACCTTCTTCTACCTCCCTCCAGGACTATATCACGAGTTAGAGTCAGTAGTAGTAACCTTCCTCTACCTCCCTCCAGGACTATATCAAGAGTTAGAGTCAGTAGTAGTAACCTTCCTCTACCTCCCTCCAGGACTATATCAAGAGTTAGAGTCAGTAGTAGTAACCTTCTTCTACCTCCCTCCAGGACTATATCAAGAGTTAGAGTCAGTAGTAGTAACCTTCCTCTACCTCCCTCCAGGACTATATCAAGAGTTAGAGTCAGTAGTAGTAACCTTATTCTACCTCCCTCCAGGACTATATCACGAGTTAGAGTCAGTAGTAGTAACCTTCCTCTACCTCCCTCCAGGACTATATCAAGAGTTAGAGTCAGTAGTAGTAGTAGCCTTCCTCTACCTCCCTCCAGGACTATCTCAAGAGTTAGAGTCTTCGTCCACAAACAGGCTGGCTCAATGTTCTGCAATCACAATAAGCTGCTTGGTTCAAAGTGTTTCTTTCCCTTCAGTAAGAATAGCAGACCAGAGTTCTAGCAGCAGGTCATGGCCCTGACGCTGTCACACTGAACCAAGGGATCTGCTGTTGTTGTTTTCAGGATCTCATTCCCAACTGGAACCTCTGCTTACTGCAAAACAAGACGCTTCCCTTTGTGAAACCCTACACCTCTCTCTGTCTGTAAAGTAAATAGTGGGATGGGAACATTTAGAGGATGAAAGGCCTGTGGAGAGATGTGCCCTTGAGTACAGATGACAAGCTGTAACACTATGGGTGTGTTTCCAAATGGCACCCTATTCACTATATAGTGCATTACTTTTGACCAGGGCCCATAGGGCTTTGACTTGGTTTCCTATGGCTCACAGCTTCATCACAGCCGACATCATGATGCCCCTTTCTTTCTGGCACTAATGCCATCTTGCACATATTTTCTCACAACTCTGGTGTTTTGTATGTTATAGATACCTCCTCCTACTAGCGCCATCATCGCAAGTCAGTCTTCAGTGTTCTTCAGTAGGAATATTAAACCTCAGCAAACTGAACTATCAGTAGGAATGTTAGACCTTACCAAACTATCAGTAGGAATGTTAAACCTTACCAAACTATCAGTAGGAATGTTAAACCTTACCAAACTATCAGTAGGAATGTTAGACCTTACCAAACTATCAGTAGGAATGTTAAACCTTACCAAACTATCAGTAGGAATGTTAAACCTTACCAAACTATCAGTAGGAATGTTAAACCTTACCCAAACTATCAGTAGGAATGTTAGACCTTACCAAACTATCAGTAGGAATGTTACAACCTTACCAAACTATCAGTAGGAATGGTTAAACCTTACCAAATATCAGTAGGATATGAAACTTACCAAACTATCAGTAGGAATATGAAACCTTACCAAACGGGAACTATCAGTAGGAATGTTAAAACTTACCAAACTATCAGTAGGAAGTTAAACCTTACCAAACTGAACTATCAGTAGGAATGTTAAACTTACCAAACTACTATCAGTAGGAATGTTATACCTTACCAAACTATTCAGTAGGAATTTAACTAAACCTCTCAGGGTTAACCTTACCAAACTATCATTGTAGGAATGTTAAACCTTACCAAACTATCAGTAGGAATGTTAAACCTTACCAAACTATCAGTAGGAATGTTAAACCTTACCAAACTATAAGTTGGAATGTTAGACCTTACCAAACTATCAGTAGGAATGTTAAACCTACCAAACTATCAGTAGGAATGTTAACCTTACCAAACTATCAGTAGGAATGTTATACCTTACCAAACTATCAGTAGGAATGTTAAACCTTACCAAACTATCAGTAGGAATGTTAGACCTTACCAAACAATCAGTAGGAATGTTATACCTTACCAAACTATCAGTAGGAATGTTAAACCTTACCAAACTATCAGTAGGAATGTTAAACCTTACCAAACTATCAGTAGGAATGTTAAACCTTACCAAACTATCAGTAGGAATGTTAAACCTTACCAAACTGAACTATCAGTAGGAATGTTAAACCTTACCACACAGAACCCAGTAGGAATGTTAAACCTTACCAAATTGAACTATCAGTAGGAATGTTAAACCTTACCGAACTGAACTATCAGTAGGAATGTTAGACCTTACCAAACTATCAGTAGGAATGTTAAACCTTACCAAACTATCAGTAGGAATGTTAAACCTTACCAAACTATCAGTAGGAATGTTAGACCTTACCAAACTATCAGTAGGAATGTTAAACCTTACCAAACTATCAGTAGGAATGTTCAACCTTACCAAACTATCAGTAGGAATGTTAAACCTTACCAAACTATCAGTAGGAATATGAAACCTTACCAAACTATCAGTAGGAATATGAAACCTTACCAAACGGAACTATCAGTAGGAATGTTAAACCTTACCAAACTGAACTATCAGTAGGAATGTTAAACCTTACCAAACTATCAGTAGGAATGTTATACCTTACCAAACTATCAGTAGGAATGTCAAACCTTACCAAACTATCAGTAGGAATGTTAAACCTTACCAAACTATCAGTAGGAATGTTAAACCTTACCAAACTATCAGTAGGAATGTTAAACCTTACCAAACTATCAGTAGGAATGTTAAACCTTACCAAACTATCAGTAGGAATGTTAAACCTTACCAAACTATCAGTAGGAATGTTAAACCTTACCAAACTGAACTATCAGTAGGAATGTTAAACCTTAACAAACTGAACTATCAGTAGGAATGTTAAACCTTACCACACTGAACCCAGTAGGAATATTAAACCTTACCAAACTGAACTATCAGTAGGAATGTTAAACCTTACCACACTGAACCCAGTAGGAATGTTAAACCTTACCAAACTGAACTATCAGTAGGAATGTTAAACCTTACCAAACTGAACTATCAGTAGGAATGTTAAACCTTACCACACTGAACCCAGTAGGAATGTTAAACCTTACCAAACTGAACTATCAGTAGGAATGTTAAACCTTACCAAACTGAACTATCAGTAGGAATGTTAAACATCTCAGTCTATTTCACAGACTAAGAATGCATCCCAAATGGCACCCTATCAAATGGTTCTGGTCAAAAGTAGTGCACTATGTAGGGAATAGGGTGTAATTTGGGATGCAGCCTCAGTCTATTTGACACACTAAATATTCCATATCAAATGTATATTTGACCTTAAGCAGGGAGTCACCATTGAGACCAGGGTCTCTTTCACAAGGGAGACCTGCATATACAATTTCATAAGACAAACTCTCAAATCTAATACACTATCAAATCTGTCAAATACAGCACAACACAATTATTCAAGAAAAACAGTTACATTCCTCAATAAGAAGGTCCCCAATCAATATTTTAAATTGCCCGAGCATCACCAGAACATCCAATTGTAATGTATTTTGTGAGGTGCTTTAAAGCTAAAAGCAGATTTACCTAGTTCGGTGGAGACCCAAGGAACCTCGAGAGTTAACCATCCCTGTGAACGGGTTTGGTGTCTCATGTTTTTCAACTTGAACAGTGAAGTGAGGTAGGTGGGAAGCTTTTGTAGTAGAGCTTTGGAAACAGAAAGGGAATAGTGAAGTGATCTACGACACTTTAATGAGGACCAAACAACCTTTGATACAGGGTGTAGTGGTGAGTATTAAATCTGTCACCTGTGATAAAGCGAAGGGTGCTATGGTAGACGGCATCCAATGGCTTAAGAGTAGTGGCTGCTGTAATCTGGTTAATGGTGACACCATAATCAAGAACTGGCAGGAAAGATGACTGTCCAATCTGCTTCCTGAGGCAAGATCTATTTCAAAAAATGAAGTGTACTTTAAATGTTGGTTTGAAACTAGCACATCCGTATGTTTTTTAAACATTAAATCTTTGTCAATCCAAATGCCCAGATATTTATAGGCGGGAACCCGATCGATGGGAGAACCATCCGGTGAATAAATATGTAGTTCATCTGAAACATTTTTTGCCACAATTAGAGAACAACATGTATTTAGTCTTGCCCGCATACAAGATTTAAACCAATCAGGGCAGCTCTAACATAGCCTGGTCAACAGTTGGGGCGACGGCATACATAAGTGTTGTCTGCATACAGATAGAACAATATGATTTATATAAATATTAAAGAGAACAGGTCCCAATACGGACCCCTGCAGTACACCATTTGTAATATCCAGGAAACTGTACTAGACACCATCAGAAATCACACATTGTGTCCTGTCTGACAGATAGTTCTCAAACCACTTGCAAGAAGCCTGATATCCAGGTCTATTTCAGTCAGCTTTTGAATGAGAATGTGATATTCAACAGTGTCGAAGGCCTTGGAAAGGTCTATCAATAGGGCAGCACAATTATTTTTATGATCTAAGCAAGTTACATTTAACATTTTAGTCATTTAGCAGACACTCTTATCCAGAGCGACTTACATGAGCAATTAGGGTTAAGTGCCTTGCTCAAGGGCACATCGACAGATTTTTCACCTAGTCGGCTCGGGGATTAGAAACAGCGACCTTTCGGTTACTGGCACAACACTCTTACCCACTAAGCTACCTGCCGCCACAAGTTAACACATGATCTAGAACAAGCGTAGCAGCTGAAATGGTGCTACGTCCAGGTCTAAAACCAGATTGGTGCACATTAAGAATATAATAAGAAGTTCTTAGCAGAGAGTTGGCCAGGGATTCAAAAACCTTGGAAAGGCAAGATAACTTGGAAATTGGATGGTAGTTATTTAAGTCAGAAGGATCTCCTCCTTTATGTAAGGGGAGGACATGTGCCGCTTACCAGATCCTGGGGATAACACCAGAAACAACTGTCAAGTTAAAAACATAGGTTAATGATTCTGCAATAAGTGGAGCAGAGAGCTGCTGTAAGAAGGGATCAGGAGAATCAGCCCATCATAGATATAAAATGGTCGAAATGAAAATAAGAGAATGTGTATCTGGGTGCGTTTAATTCTCTACAGTCTCTAATGAGGAAAGCTCTCTCTGTCATCTGTGTCTGGTTAGAACAGTGGTGACAGTGATGGTGGTTTGGTGGGGGTGTGGCCAGCTAGATGACTGACTGGTGACATCAGAGGTCATGTGACCCATGATAGAGATACATACACTCACATGTAGGACAAACACACTTGGATTTACTCATTTGTGCGCACTCACACGCTCACGCTCGCGCACACACACACACACAACACACACACACAGGGAGAGAGGGAGAGGACCTGGTGGCAGTGATTTGATGTGATTCTGTGAGAGAGAGCCTTGGCTCCCGGAGGACATCAGTCCAACATGTGCCTCTCAGCTGGGCTCTCCATCAAACCCCACTGCTCCTCTTTGAACACCAGCTAAATGGCTTTAAAACCAACAATAATATCAATCCATTAACCGGCCTAATCTGTGTGGGATTCCAGAAACAACTTCTTAAAAAATCTTCAAATGGGTTTCACTTGTTAAGATGGAAAAATATAGGGAACAATGCTGCTTTGAACATTGTCATAATTGAGGCAAGTCGTGCCAGCGCTTGGACCTTTTTATTCTGCAAAACGTGTAGAGCAAAGCATATTTGTTCAAGTTCATAATTTGTGCAGTGTAAAACGTGTGTAACTAGAGCCATGTTATGAATGTATGCGTGCCATGCTGTCAGGCTGGGCCCAGGGATGGGGTTGAGCTGGAAGCTGCAGGGAGGGATGGAAGGAGAGAGGGATGGAGGGAGAGAGGGATGGAGGGAGAGAGGGATGGAGGGAGGGAGGAATGGAGGGAGGGAGGAATGGAGGGGGAATGGAGGGAGAGAGGAATGGAGGGGAGAGAGGGATGGAGGAGAGAGGGGATGGAGGGAGGGAGGAATGGGAGGGAGGGAGGAATGGAGGGAGGAATGGGAGGGAGGAATGGAGGGGAGGAATGGGAGGGATGAGAGGAATGGGAGGGAGAGATGGGATGGAGGAGAGAGGGATGGAGGGAGGGGAGGCAATGGAGGGAGGGGGTAGGAATGGAGGGGAGAAGGGATGGAGGGAGGGGGGGATGGAGGCCGAGGAGGGATGGAGGGAGGGAGGAATAAATGAAGGCAGAAGGAATGTAGGGCATGGGAGGATGGAGAGAGGGATGGAGGGAGGAGAGGATGGAGGGAGGGAGGGGATGGAGGGAGGAGAGGAATGGAGGGAGAGAGGGATGGAGGGGAGGGAGGGAGAGGGGAGAGGGATGGAGGGAGGGAGGGGAAGGAGGGAGGGAGGAATGGAGGGAGGGAGAGGAGGAGAGAGGGATGGAGGGAAGGAGGAATGGAGGGAGGAATGGAGGGAGGGAGGAATGGAGGGAGGGAGGGATGGAGGGAGAGAGGGATGGAGGGAGGGAGGAATGGAGGGAGGGAGGAATGGAGGGAGGGAGGGATGGAGGGAGAGAGGGAGGAGGGAGGAGGGATGAGGGAGAGAGAGGGATGGAGGGAGGGAGGGAGGAATGGAGGGAGGGAGGATGGAGGAAGGAGGAGGGATGAGGGAGAGAGGGATGGAGGGAGGGAGGAATGGAGGGAGGGAGGAATGGAGGGAGAGAGGATGGGAGGAGGGAGGAATGGAGGTGGTAGAGAGGTATGGAGGAGAGAGAGGGAGAGGAGAGGGGAGAGGAGGGATGGATGGGAGAGAGAGAGAGAGGGGAGAGAGGGATGGAGGGAGAGAGGGAGAGAGGGAGAGAGGGAGAGAGGGAGAGAGGGAGAGAGGGATGGAGGGAGAGAGGGAGAGAGGTATGGAGGGAGTGAGGGAGAGAGGTATGGAGGGAGAGAGAGAGAGGGAGAGAGGGCTGGAGGGATGGAGGGAGAGAGGATGGAGGGATGGAGGGAGAGAGGGATGGAGGGAGAGAGGGAGAGAGGGTATGGAGGGAGAGAGGGATGGAGGGAGAGAGGGAGAGAGGGATGGAGGGAGAGAGGGATGGAGGGGGAGAGAGGTATGGAGGGAGAGAGGGATGGAGGGAGGAATGGAGGGAGAGAGGGATGGAGGGAGAGAGGGATGGAGGGAGAGAGGGATGGAGGGAGAGAGGGATGGAGGGAGAGAGGGAGAGAGGGATGGAGGGAGAGAGGGAGAGGGAGAGAGGGATGGAGGAGGAGAGGGATGGAGGGAGAGAGGGAATGGAGGGAGAGAGGGATGGAGGGAGGAGAGGGATGGAGGGAGAGAGGGATGGAGGGAGGAATGGAGGGAGAGAGGGATGGAGGGAGAGAGGGATGGAGGGAGAGAGGGGGGATGGAGGGAGAGAGGGATGGAGGGAGGAATGGAGGGAGAGAGGGAGGGAGGGAGGAATGGAGGGAGAGAGGGATGGAGGGAGAGAGGTAATGGAGGGGAAGAGAGGGATGGAGGGAGGAATGGAGGGGAGAGAGGGATGGAGGGGAGAGAGGGATGGAGGGAGAGAGGTATGGAGGGAGAGAGGGATGGAGGGAGAGAGGTATGGAGGGAGAGAGGGATGGAGGGGAGAGGGAGAGAGGGAGAGAGGGATGGAGGGAGAGAGGGATGGAGGGAGAGAGAGAGAGATGTATGGAGGGAGAGAGGGAGAGGTATGGAGGGAGAGAGGGAGAGAGAGGGGGATGAGGGAGAGAGAGGGGGATGAGGGAGAGAAGTAGAGCGAGATCTCTGCACCACCAGGGTAGAGAGAGATCCTATCCCCTAACCAGCCACTATGTTCTTAGATCCCTTCCTCTAACCAGCCACTATGTCCTTAGATCCCATCCCCTAACCAGCCACTATGTTCTTAGATCCCTTCC